GCTTAAATTATTTACTAGTTTGGAATAAAACATTCGGAATAGGTTTCATTGGAGCTCCAATATCTACAGCTATTAGTTATTGGCTAATGAGTTTCATTTTGTTAGGATATGTGATCTTTGTCGATGGAAGAAGTTGTTGGTATGGTCTTCAGATCAAGCAAGCTTTTAATATACGCCAGTGGTCAACGATGATGAGTCTTGCTTTAAACGGTACAGTAATGCTACTCTCTGAGTTTATTGCATTTGAAATACTAACCTTATCTGCATCTAGGTTTGGGACTTCAGCCTTAGCTGCTCAATCAGTGGCCTCCACAATCGCAACATTATCGTTTCAAGTACCTTTTGGAGTATCAGTGGCCATTTCAACTAGGATTGCTAATTATATAGGTGCCCACGATCTTGAATCAGCCAGAATTGCCAACAAAGTAGCATATATGCTAGCAGTCATTATTGGTATAACAAATTTCTGTTTGCTAATTGGAGGTCGCTCTATTATAGCAAATGGTTTTACAAATGACCAAAGGGTTATTGCTATAGCAGTCAAGGTTCTTACTGTCTTAGGTATTAATCAACTTTATGATTGCGCAAATGTACTATTTGCTGGCTGTCTTAGGGGACAAGGTAGACAAAAATTAGGCTCTTCTCTTAATTTAATTGCCTATTATGTTATTGCAATACCATTAGCTCTAATTTTGGCATTTAAGCTGGATTTAGGATTGATTGGTTTATGGTACGGTTTGGGCTTTGGAATTTTACTATTAGCAATAAGTGAAGCATGGTTTGTTTTCCATTCAGATTGGAGCGAGATTGCAGAAAGCTCGAGTAAAAGAAATCAAGAATAGATCCTCTATAGTTATTTTTTATTTCGTTAGATTGGTAAACGTTTTTAGGAACTTTTTGATTTTAAATTGAATTGAATATTTAAGACTATAGATTGATCTTGACGATTGTAATAGTATTGTTAAAAAAGATATAAGATTTAGGTTGCCTCATAAAAAGAACAAAAGTTTGTCATCTTATTCCCTACTTTAAGACTATACGACTATAAAAATGAATATTTTAAAGTAATTGGGAGTATTTATTGTTAATTTCTTTAATAACTCGAACAATTATTTTACTCAATCAAATACAGTCAATTTCACTAATAAGAAATAAGGGTATAACATTGACAAAATTACCTAATGGTCTGATCCAAGCACATAAATTGACAAACTTTTCTTGTAAGAATTCAGTATCATACGAACTTTTGAGTTCTACTACAGCCAATTCCCCAATATCTCTTAATCTCGATAACGTCTAGGCTAATTTTTTGTATTTGCATCAACAAGTATTGATTAAATACATTCTGAATAATCTTTTCTTGAGTTTTCTAAACCCTGTGGCCAATATCTCTAACTTTTATTGGCTACTGAACATGCTAATGCACTCGCCATATAAGTTGGGCCGTGAAAAAATCTTTTTGATGGACTTTCACATACAAAATTAGTAGACATTTCTTGTTATTAGGACAGCATAACGTAAAAGTAACCCCCTGCTAAAATACTTGCCGCACAATAGATTATCGTGTAAAATATCGGTATGCTGATGTGCAAATAATTTCCTGTTCGACCAAATCAAGTAGCTATTTTGTCCAAAAAACGTAATGCTTGATATTTGTAACATAAGGCTCTAACTTTCCTTAAATATCCTGGATGATATATTCGCATTACACCTGCACCTTGAATAATTGGCTCCAATATAACAGCAGCAATCCTCTCATAATTTGCTTTTAATTTTGCTTAAATTCTGCGATATTTTTTTTTCATTACAAGATCCATTTAACTTTGACCGTGGTACCTCAACAAAGATATTTTTTGTCAAATATCCACAATAAGATGATAGGCTACCTTTTATTATCCAAAGTGTGATATTTATCTATATAACTATTGGTATTTTATAATACATTATAATAATTACTCTTGCACTTGTTGAATATCCAGAACCGTTTTTTAGAGATAATTGAAAGGCTGCGAATATTGAATTTGAGAGATACTTACAATATTTGAGAAACTTTTTAATCCATAAATTTATTAGAAAATTGCCAGAAGTTTTCATAATTGTTTCAAACAAAATTACCAGAATTTTAACTAAACCATACGAACTATTGACGTGGGTTTTTCATTTATACTGTTTTGAATCATAATATGCGCCAATCTGCTCTTTTCTATTTTGCTTTCTTCGTCACATCTTGACAAAATAATACTTGATTTGACTGGTTTTGATGATTCAAAGACTAAATCAATTTCTTCTAAGGTTAAAGATTTAGTTTCGACAAAGAAGAAATAAATGATACATAATTGGAAAATATTCCAGAAAACGAAGAAGACATAAAACCAATATCTGATATTTTCCATGGCAACAGGAGCAGCGTAGGTATTTACAAAACTTGCAGTTCCTTGAACTAATTGAAACATTCCCATACCTCTAGCCCTCATAGGACTACTTAATATTTCAGCAGGATAAAGTGGTTGAAGTGGAGTATATCCAAAAGCGAAAAAAACGTTATTGAATATATAAATAAAAGCAATACCAACTCGTCCAGCAGTTTGATTTCCATGGTCTTGGAAAGCAGCAGTGCATGCAGCTATTACGGTAAATGAAAGAATAAATCCAGAATTTGAAAATAAGAAGACTTTTCTTCTTCCTAGTTTTCCAACTAAAAGTGAACCAGCTGTTGCAAAGATGTAACCCAATATCGAGTTAATACCATTTAATAGCAATCTCGTGGTGGCGTTTTCAATACCTAAGTCTAAAAGGATAGTAGTTAAATAATAGCCAACCACCGCTTGCCCAGAAAATTGTCCAAACCATGAAGCTGCAACAACCAAGGTGCTTCTTCTCGCATCCTTTCTGGTTTTGAATAATACTCTGCAATCGAAATAGTCCTTGATAGTAAACTTTCCAAATTCCATTAAAGACATTTCTAATTGAGCCATTTCGTATTCAACAATTGGATGAGAAGAGTCATCATTAGCATGGTACTTCACAAAAAAATTCCTAGCTTTATCAATATTACCTTTCATGTAATGAAATCTTGGTGACTCGGGAACAAAAAGCATCAGGACAACAACGATTCCAGGGCAAAGTAATTGTAACCACAATGGTATTCTAAAAGCTAAATCGCTTCCTTCATAGGTGATATTCGTTCCATAAGCACTCCAGGTTGCAATGATACTTCCTATATAGTATAGACTATTGTAGATACCACATAACACAGATCTTTCGTTCGGAGGAACAATCTCTAAAAGGTAGGAAGTACTTAAGGAGCAAGACAAACCAGAACCAAACGAAAGGAGAAACCGGCCACCAACAAACATGTTGTAGCTGTTAGATAAAGCGGTTATTATTGCACCCACACAAACAATACAAGAACCTATGAAAATGGTTGGCTTCCTTCCAATAAAGTCTCCCAACCAAACAAATACGGTAACACAGATTTGTCCAATTTGAAATATCGACATCACTAAACCAGTTCCCAGCGCATCTTTTATGCCCATGGTAGTCATGAAACGGGGAACTGCCAACAAAGCGGTAAGTAAAGACCCATCATAACCATTGGTTGTCGACACAAAGTAGATGCATAAGCAAGAAAAATAGATAATATATCTATTTTTATGCCATCTGGACACCGGATTATGCTTCAAAATATCCTTGTAACCATCTGTCGTGAGATTATGATTAACACTGTCTGAGCTGCTCATCTTCTCAGGTTGCGTATAGAAGATATCTTTCTTTTCTTCTAGGTTAATGACCAGCAAAGGTTTCCCTTCAGATTTGAATCCTTCTGTATCTTCTATAAAACTTTCTTCTTGTCCTTTATTTGACATTGACATTGATATTAATTATTTACATTTTATCCTCCATCTTTCATAGGATGTCTTCATTTATATATGTCTTCATTTATTCTTTTTCATTAGAAAAAACCACCTCCAATCAAGAAACGGACAAATGCACCATTTTTGGACATACTAATCTGAAAAAATATTCTTCTATTAAAAGCAGCGTGTCGTGGCGAAAGTTATTTGCGGGGGGAGTAAATACTTTGGAATTCTCCGTCCATGTGACTCAACTAAAAGTGTGAAATTCAGAATATTTAAAACGGAGAACTTGCCCTATGCGTCTTTAATAAAGCAAGAATTCCGAACATCGCATATTAGAGTGATTGATTCATGTCTGGAGAGAGTACTTCTAAGAGAATTGAAACGGAAATTGGACCCCAGAATAAGTACGAGGTACGGGAAATTCAACCCTTTACGAATTTGACTATCCAATCTTTGATTCTGGATAGTGGTACAATCACGCGGTTATCGGAGAGGATCGATAAAGGCAAGGCGATGAAGAAACACACGAGTCCGCCCCTGAAGAAGATAGGTACGAATTTCAAATTGTTAAGAGCATGCTCATTCTGTCGAAGGAGGAAGCTCAAATGTATAATGCCCCACAATTCTTACAAATGTGAAGAATGCATCGCACGAGAGCAAGAATGTATTTTCAACCATAAGATCGTGCAACCTGGAAGTAGAAGACTGTCACAAAATAAAACTAAATTGCTTGCTGCTTCAGCAAAGCATCTAACAGCATCAAGAATTGAACCGAGTAGCACATTATTTTCAAAAAGGAATATGGAGGTTGACTCCATAGCACAACATATTCCACCTACTATAGAAAATAAGAGTTATTCTTTACTGTGTGATATTGTTCAACCTTCTGGATACCACGTAATGGAGAGTATTCCACAAAGAGAAGAAAGCAGAAGTGAACATGGTACAGAGAACGAAAAAGGTGACATGTCTTTAAGAAATGAGGAAAACCTTCCCATAAATGACTCCTCATCCTTAACATGGTATTCTAAGGAGAAACTTGATCACCTGTCTTTAACAAATCAAAATGGCCCAAGTATTATCGGTAGCTCTCCTTCGCTTGATGGATTTTCTCCAGCCTGTGCTGATGAATTTTCAATTCTTAGTTCGAGTAGAAGGGAAGAAATAGGAATGCTTTCATTCAATATTTATAAAATTCATATAGAGCCATATACTCCATTCGTTCTGTATGACATGTTCAATTCAACTGACTCAGGATACCTTGATCATTTTAGCAAATTTTGTATTCATCTCGCCTCAGTATCGTCTTCCACGAACCAAATACCTCTCAGCACTATAGACTTATTATTTGAAGTGTTTAAAGGGTATATGGAGGATGATAGCAGGTATATATTTGATGAGGTGACATTATCCTTCTTCTTGTTACTTCCTTTGAGAATAAGGATTTCTGATAATATTGTTCAAAAGCATCTAGGGATGTTTAATAAGTTTTACGAAAAGAACGGTAATTCCTTACCCATAAATTTACTTGTTGGGGCGCTTACTGTTGATGCATTCTATTCATTGCTCAAAGGTACATGGGTGTTAACAACAAATACATCTATTTTAAAAGAAGTATCTAATTTTGTTGGGACTTTGAATAAAAAATGCTTCAACTATCATTATTTATCAGTAGCCTGTTTTCTATATAAATTAATAATGGTTGTTTCAAATATAAAGCTTTCATACGAAGAACAAAGAATTGAGATGCTACATCTCGAGTATGAAATGTTGCTATGGCCAGCAAAATTAACTCGGGAGTTATCCGTTGTCGAAGATGACTTACTAGCCACACCAGAAGCTTTCTTTTTACATGTTATACATAACACTTTATTAATAGAGTTTTATTCCAATGCACTTAGATACAAAAATAAGTTCGGTAAAATGAATTCTATCTTTGCAGTCCCGGGCTTGTATCAATTTATAGCTGGAATGGCAAAGAGTAATTTTCGATTAAATGAGGGTCTTGTAGGAAGATGGTCTTTAATTGCAAATTGTCAATTACATACAGCCAAGCTTCTACTTGGCTTGTATGAAGTTATGGAGTTTGAAGAGTTTATTCTGGCTTTAAGATTTTACAAGAAATCTACTAATGTTTTCGATTACGAGTTTCAAGATCATATATTTTCTCAAGTTCAAAAATTATTGACTAAGAATAGTTCATACAAGTTGAGTGATGATGATAAGGATGGACCGAAAGTTTTTTGGGTGTTCAGAGATGTTAGAAGTATGTCACTTCAATTATATATTGATGAATCAAAGGAAAGACTTCATTAATAACTCTATGAAAATGTACTCTTTTTTTAATTTTCTTTTTCTTTATTCTTTGTCCTAATATTAAATAGATAATATTACATGTTTGAAAGTTTAAATATAGACTCTACTTGCATCCAATAAGATTTATCTACTAAAATCATGTTTTTAAATATGCGGGACATATTTTCAATGATTAATCCAAAATTTCTTGTATTAGGAGTGATTTCTCTGAAAGTCACTCGTTTGTGTTAGATACAATGACTATTATTACGTAGCAAAAGTATTATCTCGTTCTCCGTTTTTCAAAATAATCAAGGCTTTTAACATAGTCATTTCTTTACACGTAAGTCTGTATTCACCAATTTTCTATATGATTGGGCAATAATATGTTCCGGTTTTCTCTTATACTCGACAAAATATTCCGTTTATTGTTTACGTCAAAAAAGAAAAATATTTTGTCTGTCGTTAACTAGACAATACGCCACCCCACATTCAAGAATCGTAAAATCGTAAGGTTTCCCCGAAAGTTTATTTCCATTTGCGGTTAGATTTCCGCATTCTCATATCTTGCAAGTATAGCGCATTGTCTGTCCTGCACCTAAACCATTACGGAACTTTGTGTTGTTTTTGGAAAGATACGCATTATTGAGTTCTGAAGTATAAATTTGGGGTAAAGTACGATCAAATAAAATAATCAATTTTTAGTTAAACATTCAAAAAATAAAAAATAAATAATGACTATGCTGGAGAATTTATCAACTATAGAACAAACACTTAAAAATTGGAAGTATAGACAAAATAACGTCGGAGATTGGAAATGTTCACGAGTAGGATGTGCTACTGAGATCTTTGCTGATCTCTTGGAAAATAAGGAAATCCCTGATCCATTCATTGATCTTAACGAAAAAGAAGTTCAATGGGTTGGAGAAAAGGATTGGGAGTACAAGAATGAATTCCAGGTAGACATTAATGCTGCAAGATTGAAACAGCATCAAATTATCTTCGAAGGCTTGGATACTTTTGCAACTGTATTTTTGAATGGAAAAAAGATATTGGAAAGTAACAACATGTTTAGAACTTACAAGGTAGATGTTAAAAAGATCATAAAATTTGGCGAAACAAACAACATCACGATTGTTTTTAGAAGTGCTTTGTTAGAAGGAAGAAACTTGGAAAAAGAGGTGGGAAAATTAAAATGTTTTAATGGAGAAACAAGCAGGCTTCAAGTTAGAAAAGCCCAGTATCATTACGGTTGGGATTGGGGACCAATATTAATGAGCTGTGGTCCCTGGAAACCTGTCCGCGTTGTTTCATACAACAATATTATTCAAGATGTTTATGTGAAGACGAATGTTACTGAGAAACTTCAGGCCTCTATTGATATTTTAACAGAGGTTAAGATTGCTAATTCTGAAAATTTAAGTATTGAAATTCAAGATCCAATGGTAATCATTTGAAAACACTTAATACCGAAATTCAAAAATCAGGTACTGTGATAAATAAATTTGTTGTGGAAGAACCTGAATTATGGTATCCGTTAGGCCTGGGCAAGCAACCGTTATATAATTTCAAGGTAACTTTAGGAACACAAACCATAGAGAAAAATGTTGGTTTAAGAAAAGTAGAATTAATTCAGGAAAAATTCGAAGACCAAGAAGGAACATCGTTTTATTTCTCAGTCAATAATCTTCCGATATATGCGACTGGATCTAATTGGATCCCAGCACATTCCCTTTTAACTCTCTTAACTGATCAAGACTATTCCGAGTGGCTTCAACTACTTGTAAATGGTAACCAGAATATGGTTAGGGTTTGGGCAGGAGGAATCTATGAATCAGACTTTTTCTACGAAACATGCGACCGTCTAGGTATCATGGTATGGCAAGATTTCATGTTCGCATGTGGCCAATATCCAGGATACCCTGAATTTATTGAAAATATTAAATTTGAAGCAATAGATCAAATCAAAAGATTAAGAAACCATTGTTCCATTGCTCTTTATGCTGGAAACAATGAAGACTATCAAGTAGCAGAACAATTTAATCTAGAGTGGGACAGAAACGATGTATCTGGAGATTATTCCAAAACAAATTTCCCTGCAAGAACAATTTATGAAAATGTTTTACCGAAATTAGTAGGAGAATATTCAGTCGATGTTCCTTATCATCCTGGTTCTCCATGGGGTGGAAATGGAACTGCAGATGAAACTACAGGAGATGTACACCAATGGAATGTTTGGCATGGAAATCAAGAAAAGTATCAAGATTGGTATAGGCTAGGTGGTCGTTTTGTTTCAGAATTTGGAATGGAAGCATTGCCCAACAGGAAAACTTATGAGGCTTGTATTACCGATCCTACTGAATTATATCCACAGAGTGAAACTGTTGATCACCACAATAAAGCAGACGGGTTTGAACGCCGACTTGCATTATACGTTATCGAGAATATAAAAGTTAAAGGTTTAGATTTAGATTCTTGGATATACGCTACACAGCTTATGCAGCTGGAATGTCTTGGTTATGCGTATAGATGCTGGAGACGTCAATGGAAAGGTGATGGTCAAAGGTACGCTGGAGGCGCAATTGTCTGGCAGATAAATGACTGCTGGCCAGTAGCTTCTTGGGCTATTTGTGATTTTTACAAGAGACCAAAGTTAGCTTATTATTCTGTTAAAAGAGAAAGTCGTACCGTCGGTCTTGGAATGTACAGAAATGAGGAGAAGAATAC